ATCGGCTAATTTCAAAATCAGCAAAGACAGTAATAAGAGAGAGCGGCAACAGCCCTGGTAAGATCATTTCATTTCTTTACTTTTAATGAAGATGGTAGTGTTAAGAGTCTGCGACTTATTTTCACTTTGATTTGCGATAGATTGCGGCGCGCTGGCTTTATGAATAGACGCTCAGCTGCTCATCTGAGGTGATGTGCGTCGTCATATATGACTAAAATAACATAACCTATAGCCTGCTTTCAACAACCAGATGCATTTACACTTGTCCAGTTTTGTCTGGAATACGGCCCAGACCACGTCCTCAAGTGATTTGAGCGATCGGATTCAAATCCGTCTCGAATGCATTTCGGAGGGCAACCTGGTCTTTTCACGATCGAATAGCTATCCGATCACAGAAAACGCATGAAGTGACCAGATGTAGGCTAAACAGCCACTTTGAATCCATCTTCAACTTTTGTGGAAAGTTGACTAAAGTTGTGTCGCTCGAGTCGTCTTCTCTGATACGGAGAATGGTGGCGAATACACTCCCCCTGCAAGACATAGGCACATAGCCAGGAGAGCGTGAACGCGCATGACGTCACTGCCAGTCTCAGATTCGAGCCCGAATCCCTCTAATTTATTTTACTGTACATGATTATAGAGGCGATCTCAGTGATCAGAGAAGGGCTCATTCAGCCCATCAGGCAAGTGTTTAAGCATGTATGGGTTAGAAAACGGCTATTTTTAACATGAAATGTTGCGCAATGCACCTTTAATAATTTATTATTTATTTTAAAAAAAAAAATACCGGGTATTTTAATTCATCCTTTAGAATCATGTATTAAAGACGATAAAAATATTCAAACAGATCAAAGTTACTATGGTGATGTCACAGGTCGAGGGGAGGAACGCTCGGGTGACCAACCACCCCCCTCTAACTGAGTCACCACCGTGAGGAGCCGACACCACAGGCACACAACAGAGGACCCGGAGACAGAGATAAGTTTCAAAGGAGTAACAATCTTTATTACACCAAGGGTTTCTCACAGTTCAAGATACTCTCGTCGATGTACGATGATGGACCAGGGGGGTTGAAGCTTACTTCTCCCCAGCGGTGCTGCAGACTTCCAGACCCAAGAGTAAGTATGACAGGTAAGGATTCTTCACAGTACAGGGTTCTCTTGTTGGTGCACAGTAATGAAGCAGTGGATTAAAAGCTTACTCTTCCCCCAGCGGTGCTGCAGACTTCCAGACTCAGACAGTAAGTATGGCAGGTGAGGATATTCACAGTACACAGTACTCTCTCTTCAGTTCACAATAGGGAGACAGTGAGTCATAAGGTTACTTTACCAGCGATGCTGTGTGCTTCTGGGCTCAAACAGCACGTAGAACAGGTGAGGATATTCACAGTACACAGTACTCTCTCTTCAGTTCACTGCATCACTCTGGGCTTCTGACGGGGGGCAGATATAATAACCTTCCACGAACATGTAAGCATGGATAAGGGCCACTTCTCAACAAAGACACAGCACACTTGTGTTCACTTCAATTCCACAGCAATAAATCAATGTGTATCAATAAGGCAAAAGCACTGCAATTCACTCACACGATAGGGTTGGACAGAGGCCCCACTCCGTCCGTTGCGCTCGTTTACAGGGGTTTCACTTTTAATTCCTCCTCATCACACTCTGAAACACATAGCTCCTCCAACAGTCAGATCCACATTCACTGTATCCTCTTCAAACGGTTCAAATGTTCATAAGATGAAAACAATTCACTTATCTTTCCTCTCTCCTTCCACAGCACAGATCCAGTCCTAGCTCGGTCCAGCGGTCTTCCCACAAACGATCACTCTGACCCAGCAGCCTCAAATGGGTGATCTCCACACCCCAACGATTTTTCCAAGGAAGCCTGTATCCAGCACTGCCCAGAACCACTTTAATGTCTGATCTTGTCAACCCTTTGGACTCCTGACACTCTGTACACCCACCGAACGCGCCCCAAACACTCTCTGAATGCCCCTTTTATATCGTGGCTTATGAAACAGGGAGCCTGTGTGAGCGCCGCTCCTGTCTCTCTCACACCTGCAATGCATTAGCGCTAATCAGTACGGGCATGTTTCCATCACACCCGGAACCGTAGTGGAGTGTTGCACCCAATACGTTCCCCTAGGAAACTCAGGACTCTCAAGAAGGTTCCGTTTACTGAGCGATTTTGTCACCCGTGACCGTTACAAAACACACTTGAGTTTAGATTGCGCACCAGAGGAGAGAGAGAGAGAGGTTTACAAAACTTTATTTAAAACACTTAATATTCAACAAATAACATTATTTGTATATATGGAAAAAAAAAAACACATTAAAATTCCAAAACCAAATTTCCATCGTAACCAACACAAAGCATCATTAACACACCACATATCACTGAAACCCTTCTCATTATTTACAAGACTATAGTATGCAAATTCTATCTTTAGTCTACCAGCCACTAATTTCAAAAACATCAAGTCAACATTAATACTATTATGCTGCAATCCTTGATTTTTCCTGGTTTTCCATATCGTCAATTTCACAGTTCCTGTTAAATAATTTAACAGACACATCTTCCTTCTTTTTGAAAAATTATATCACACCCCCTATAAAAACTTCCTCTGAGAAACCTTCACCAAAACTTGAAACAATCTATTAAGAACTTCAGAAAGACCTTCCAGTCTTTAACAATTTAAAAACAAATGTTCTAGATTTTCTTCTTCTCCACAAAACCTGCATCCCTCCCCTACTGCTGGGTTCAGGTGTGCCACATGTTTGTCCGAAAATTGATTCCGAAATAAGAATATACTAAAGTGCAACAAATTAAATGTCCAGCAGAGGGCACCAGCGTCATTGAAGCTTAGCCTTTTGCACAGCCGCCCCCGAATTTCTTTAACAAATTTGTAATTAGAGAAAAGGCTTATTAGTCTTTGCTGGTGTCATCAGGTAGGGCAGGCAGTTTAATCAGACGAGCCACAGGCCTCGTGTAACTTTTGTCTTTGATATTCACTACCGCGGTGCGGACTCGTCCATCTTGTCCGGGAATGACTTTGGCTACAGTACCTGTTTGCCATAAGGCTCTGGGTGCTTGCTAGTCCACAATCATCATAACTTCACCAATTTGAAGCTTGTCTGATTCTCTTTGCCATTTTTGTCGTCGTTGCAAGTCGGGGAGGTAATGCCGTATGAAACATTTCCAGAAATTTTCAATTAGAATCTGGCTATGGCGCCATCTCCTACGACTGAGCATTTCCGATTCCGGATAAACAACTTGTGGTAATCCAGAAGATGGACGTCCTATGAGGAGGGAATTAGGTGTCACTGGGTCTATATCTGCTATGTCTGAGGAAACATATCCCAATGGTCTGGAGTTTAAAAAGCTGGACGAAACAACCGAAGGTTGGACTGAGGGAGATCCGCCATCATAGGAATTTCGGGATTCCCTCGCCATTTCTTACATTCAAAGCAGCTGCGCTGGTGTCTTTTTACTGCCTCTCATGATCCAATATTTTCGTCTCACTTCTGCGAACACGCACTCAGGTCCTGGATGTAACAGGAGGTTGTCGTGATGTTGAATCAGAAGCTTTACAAGAGGGTGAGCAGGATCTAAGACAATAGGGTGTAGAGTGTCTGAGTCCAAGTGCTTACATCTGCGATCAGTTTCTCACTCCTATACGGAAGTGTGTCCATTTGCCACAATTTCTGCACATTGTTGAACAGTTCGGCTTCTGCTGACAAAGTGGAGGTTAATAGACAGACACTGTTGTGGTGAGAGCTGACTGGCAAGGAATTGAGGGGCCCTGCAGAGTCCACCCGAGTCACAGCGGCAGGACCGCCAGGAGGTCAGAGACGAACTGGCTCTGTAGCTGTGATTAAATGTGGATAATCTGAGCTAATGAGTAAGAGTGGTTGAGCCTGCTGCATTGAGGGAATGGGCAGACCTTGCAGATATCTGTATTTCTTCTGAAGCAACTTAACAGGGTAAGTGTGTTTTGTGAGGCTCAGTTCTTTGGCTGTAAAAGCTCTTTCAATGGTGAAGGATTTGTTTGGCTGAAATGCAGAAGCTACTGAGAATGAAACAGCTACCCCATGAACAACCCATATGTCTTGTCTCACAGTACGGAGGGCTATATCTTCAGGAAGTCCTTGAAGATCAAGTTGCTGTGCTGCTTCATACAGTAACATTGTCCTCTCTGATCCGTCATCCAATATAACGTATGCATCAAGTTCCTTCTCTCCATTTCTCAAGATCACTCGGCTGACCTTCAAAAGAACTTTGCTGCCTGCAGTTGGTCTGTCCATATACAAAGTCTCTATTTCTGAGTTCACAAGACAACCTTTTTTTGCTGAAGCTTGTGTTTCATGTTTGCCTTTGGCATTGAAGTCATGCAGTATTTCTAAATATCTCTTTTCACATTTGGCTTTAAGATTACATTGTGAGATCTGGTGGTCACGGCCACACCTAAAGCACTTCTGATTTGACTTCAGCCAAGACTCCACTTGATCTTGATTCAGCAGTTTGAAATTAGCGCACTGATTGAAGTAATGCTGCACAGTGTTGCAGAAGGGGCAGTACTTTGTCAGTTTCTCCTTCTTGACTGCTGTAACACTTGCTGGTTTACTCTGTTCGCCACCATCCAAGACAGTAGCAAATCGTTGAACCGGCTTGCAATTCCTTTGCTGTTCTCTCTGTGGCTGAGAGTAGGCTCTGCTTACATTACTAACGTACTGTGACTCATCATCTTGTATTCTGAGCTCATATTCAAACCAATCGCTGAGTTCTATAAGTGTTGGAACTGGGTTCTGAACGGGGTTAACAAACCTTCTGAAGTTTGCTTTAAGATCATGAGGCAACTTGGCAAGGAGACGTGAAACATGTGACCCACATTTGAGCGGTCCATCCTTTAGCTCCAAGTTGGTGCAGCATTTCAACTCATGCACGCACATTGAGGGCAAACATTCTAAAAGATTTAGTGTCACGACTCCTGATTTTTGGGCCATCCATAAATTCTGCAATTCTTTGTAGTGCGAGTTGATGTGGTTGACCATAAAGTGCAGTTAGAGACCTCATGGTGTTGGTGTATGGGTACCTGCTGTTGACGTACGAGTCTGCAATGAGCAAGGCATTCTCCTGTTTCAGATGATCAACGAGTATTTGGTACTTGAAACGTTCTGTAGCCTCGGCAGGTAGCAAATTCTCCAGTGCAATTTTGAGTCATGCAAACTCTGGGATTGTCACTGCAAAAATGAGGAATGGTGGGAATAGGACCTCTGTAGGTGGGCTCTACATGAGGATATGGAAGAGAAGGAGGGCGCACTGGGTGGTATGGCTGATATGTCTCAGGCTGAGCATAATCTGCGTACTGTCGTGGGGTCAAGAAGCTTGATTTGTCTGTAGGATTAGGAGCTGATTGACCATAGCTGTCTGAGTGTCTCTCATGTGCATGGTGAGCTAATGTATCCCTTGGAGAAAGTCTCTCATCTTGATAGACTGGACTTGTAGCTGGAATCCGATGATAAGGTTGCTGATAACCATATGGTTCAGTGGAAGGGAAATAGCGCACGGGTTTGCAGTTCAGACTATGATCTTTATAAGTCCCATACGTAGCTGCTGTCTCTTGACTATAGTCCTGAAGCATAAACTGAACAGCTGCGGGATAGTGGTTGCGATCTCTTTGGTCAGTGGACATATAGTTATGGCCTCTGTGGTCTGTGTTGTAGTAACCACGTGGTCTATCTATGTGCCTAATACCAGGTTGAGGATATGTAGCATCTTCTTGATGGGCTAGCTTGTGTTGGGATTGAGTTGGTTCATAAGAAGAGAAAGGATGACTTGAAGTTAGCAGAGTTGCCGAGCCTGGTAGTCTCAGGTCTCCTAGATTGTCAGTGAGATAATCTCTTTATGACTGACAGATTGAGAATGCAGAAGGTCACCTCGTGAATTAACAGACGGTGAAGAGAAGGGGAAACGTCTTGATCTCTAGGCAGAACTGTCCTGCCCTCAGTGGCTGCTGTATATGGACTTGAGGAGAGAACTCTCTGATCTGCATAAATTATTTGCCTTGGAGAAGTCCGAGTACGGGGCATTGGCCTCGGCGGTTTGTTGGGCCAGTTGCTCCCCTCCATGAGATATACAGCTTTGTTTGTAAAGGACACCATTGCAGATTTTGCCACCATTACATCTGCGAGAGAAAGTCCAAACAAACAGTGAAGAATATCAACTTTGTGGCTTAAAGTGCATGTCTTGTAAAGATGATAAAGAGTATAGTTCAGATCAGCCAATAGCTCACCTGTTCCCTCCTCAGTAACATTCCCATTTAATAGCAATGTTTCTTGCATTTGGTCTTCAAATTTGGTGTTGAAAAACACTGACGCATCAACAGTAAGAGAGGCATAGCCCGTGGCATTCATCTGGTAGGAGAACAAAGACACAATTAAGTCAAGCACAGGCAAAAGGAAAACCCTCAGCAATACGGCAGGAGTCACACACCTTTGCGGTTTGAGTCAGGCACTGTCCGGTCAAATTATGAAGCAGACTGTTTGGAAATGGATCACGGCACACTTCCACTAAGGCTTGACCAGGTACAGGTTGGCCATATGTACATCTGGGAAATATCATAACAAGATAAAGAACTGACCAACCACAGGACGACAAAATAAAGCATCACTCACTTGGCACAAGACTCAACTTTCAGTCCCATAACTGCAACGCTGTAGGTCTGCGGTGCGTTTACGGTCACGTCAAACTTGGGCAAAACTAAACCAGAAACAAAGTGCTTTAGATTAAGGCCTCAGATCTGTCATTGAACTTCCCTTACACAACAACTTACCTTATTTTTTCACCTCAAAGACTTGGGAGACTAGTGTTGGGACTCTTCACTCCACGGCTACTCCATTCTGCGACACCTAGGTCTTCGTTTCTGATGGACGGACGGACGGACGGACGCACGCACGGATGGACGCACGCACGCACGCACGGACGGACGCACGCACGCACGGACGGACGCACGCACGGACGGACGGAAGGACGCACGCAAGCACGGACGGACGGACGGACGGAAGGACTCACGCACGCACGGACGGAACGACTCACGCACGGACGGACGGACGGACATCCTTCCAACCATCATATTAAAAGACCACATTCAGTAAGAAAAAGCTAGTATAGACCATTACAACACAAGACTACATTTTTTCATTTTACCTTTAAGTCATGTACCAATTTCTAGAGCAAGAATCAAACTAACAGACATACCGACACTGAAGTTGCGATAAAAATTCGGGCCCTTGTACTTCAGACACTGGGATAAACTAAAGTGGCATTCTAATCAGAAGTGCCACACACTGAAAGATCCAGATTAAAAGCTCAAACAAAAAACCTGATTGAGGCACACAGACACCCTTTCAGCACTCAGACGTCTTCTTGGCTCCATGATCCGGATGCTCTGATCTACCACACAGAGATCCTGCTTGAGCAGCAACCACCAGAACGTTTCCCTCCGCAGGAACAGCTGTAGAAAACTGCAGAGACACCTGGAACAAGGACCAACACGCTGTAGGACACACACCAACACTCCCAAATTGAAAAATAGCCTAAATCATACAGTACCTGGTTCTGGAAATGCATATCGGTGTCAAACGGCACACTAGCAGCAACTGCATTCTCACTGGGAAGACCGCTGTGGACCAGAATCTGCACCGCTGGAGCCATATCGACGCTGATAGACAACTGGAACATCACAGAGCCACTTGTGTCTGCATCACCAGTCTTTGCTATAACTGTCTGAAATCCATGGAGGATGATCACTCCTTTGGATAAGACCTGACAGAAGACATAGGTGTGCAAGTTGTGGAACAAACAGACCAGCAAACTTAACTACAAAACTAATGTCCACTCACCATATAGATTGTCAGCGCTGTAGCTACCAGCCTCTCCAACAAATGAATACTCCACGGTCACTGGAAACGAAGCACCACATTTGAGCGGCTGATTGAGCTTCACTATAGTCAGTTCACTAAACGATGGGTTGTCGGGAGAAACAGGTAGGAGAAGCTGAACAAACCTTGTATCTGTAGTGAAGTATGGCGATTTATAACCATAAAAAAACCTCTGGATTAGCACTCGCCTGGGGAAGATAAAACTTAATCAGTATCATGCGAGAGAATGTCTTAATTTTTACAAAATACAAGTCGTACCACCAGATTCAGATCAGCCTTAAGATTAGCAGTGTTTAGGGAGAACGCAGCCAGTCCATTCTTGTTTGTGGTTAGATTCAACAGCAGTTTGTTGGGCCAGTTGCTCCCCTCCAAGAGATATACAGCTTTGTTTGTGAAGGACACCATTGCAGATTTTGACACCATTACATCTGTAAGAGAAAGTCCAAACAAACAGTGAAGAATATCAACTTTGTGGCTTAAAGTGGATATCTTCTAAATATGATGGAGTATATGGTTCAAATCAGCCAATAGCTCACCTGTTCCCTCCTCAGTAACATTCACATTTACAAGAAATGTGTCTTGCATTTGGTCTTCAAATTTGGTGCCCGTGGCATTCATCTGGTAGGAGAACAAAGACACAATTAAGTCAAGCACAGGCAAAAGGAAAACCCTTAGCAGTAAGGCAGGAGTCACACACCTTTGCGGTTTGAGTCAGGCACCATCCGGTCAAATTATGAAGCAGACTGTATGGAAATGGATCACGGCACACTTCCACTAAGGCTTGACCAGGTACAGGTTGGCCATATGTACATCTGGGAATCATCATAACAAGATAAAGAACTGACCAACCACAAGACAAGAAAATAAAAGCATCACTCACTTGGCACAAGACTCAACTTTCAGTCCCATAACTGCAACGCTGTAGGTCTGCAGTGCGTTTACGGTCACGTCAAACTTGGGCAAAACTAAACCAGAAACAAAGTGCTTTAGATTAAGGCCTCAGATCTGTCATTGAACTTCCCTTACACAACAACTTACCGTATTTTTTCACCTCAAAAACTTGGGATACTAGTGTTGGGACTCTTCACTCCATGGCTACTCCATTCTGCGACACCGCGGCATAGTCGCAGTCGCCTAGGTCTTTGTGTCTCACTGCCTCATCGCTTCTCTGGCTACGTGGTGTGCTCCACCTCCATCACCTCTGGTAATCCCCTTGGTAGTGTTGGGACTCTTCACTCCATGGCTACTCCATTCTGCGACGCCGCCGTGGGATGCAGTCCTGACTGTGGGCTGGGTCTCCGTCTGCCCTTCCCTGCTCAAGGTCATCCCCCTGGCTGTCACCACCACCTGCACCAACCTTTCCTCCAGCTACGGACGGATGGCCGCCGTGGGATGCAGTCCTGACTGTGGACAGGGTGTCCGTCTGCTCTTCCCTGCTGAAAGCCTTGGAGGGATGGGACGGACAACTTGGGCGGACGGGACGGACGGGACGGACGACTTGGGTGGACGGGATGGACGGGACGGACGACTTGGGCGGACGGGACGGACGACTTGGGCGGACGGGACGGACGGACGACTTGGGCGGACGGGACGGACGGACGACTTGGGCGGACGGGACGGACGGACGGACGGACGACTTGGGCGGACGGGACGGACGGACGGACGACTTGGGCGGACGGGACGGACGACTTGGGCGGACGGGACGGACGGACGGACGACTTGGGCGGACGGGACGGACAGACGGACGACTTGGGCGGACGGGACGGACGGACTTGGGCGGACGGGACGCGGACGGACGTTTGGGCGGACGGACGACTTGGGCGGACGGGGACGGACGGACGGACGACTTGGGCGGACGGACGGACGACTTGGGCGGACGGACGGACGACTTGGGCGGACGGACGGACGACTTGGGCGGACGGACGGACGACTTGGGCGGACGGACGGACGACTTGGGCGGACGGACGGACGACTTGGGCGGACGGACGGACGACTTGGGCGGACGGACGGACGACTTGGGCGGACGGACGGACGACTTGGGCGGACGGACGGACGACTTGGGCGGACGGACGGACGACTTGGGCGGACGGACGGACGACTTGGGCGGACGGACGGACGACTTGGGCGGACGGACGGACGACTTGGGCGGACGGACGGACGACTTGGGCGGACGGGACGGACGACTTGGGCGGACGGACGGACGACTTGGGCGGACGGACGGACGACTTGGGCGGACGGACGGACGACTTGGGCGGACGGACGGACGACTTGGGCGGACGGACGGACGACTTGGGCGGACGGACGGACGACTTGGGCGGACGGACGGACGACTTGGGCGGACGGACGGACGACTTGGGCGGACGGACGGACGACTTGGGCGGACGGACGGACGACTTGGGCGGACGGACGGACGACTTGGGCGGACGGGACGGACGGACGACTTGGAACCATGAAAAAAGGTTGGTGCAGGTGGTGGTGAAAGCCAGGGGAAAGGCCTTGAGCAGGGAAGGGCAGACGGAGACCCAGCCCACAGTCAGGACTGCATCCCACGGCGGCGTCGCAGAATGGAGTAGCCATGGAGTGAAGAGTCCCAACACTACCAAGGGGATTACCAGAGGTGATGGAGGTGGAGCACACCACGTAGCCAGAGAAGCGATGTGGCAGTGAGACACAAAGACCTAGGCGACCGCGACTAGGCCACAGCGCCGACCCCTGAAGTGGAAGCAGCGATCCTGAGGTTAGAGGATGAGCTGCAGCAACCATAGATGGAGGTGGAACCTGAGGGAGGGCGGAGCTATTCAAAGGCGAAAGAGGTGGAGAGCTGTAGGGCAGCGAATGGGCCGCAAGTCCATGGCGAAGAAGATGTAATGTCCAACAGAGGGAGGCCGAATGGCCGATGGTCCACGCTGGAGTCAAGGGTGGTAAGAGAGCACAGCTGCATTCTCACTGGGAAGAACGCTGTAGACCAGAATCTGCACTGCTGGAGCCATATCGACACAGTCACTTTGTTTGCAACTGGAGTCTTATCAAAACGAGTCACGGATATCTGTTAGGAATAATCAAGGTTAGGAAAGGGAAACAATTTGAAGGCTTCTGGGATAAGGATGACATTTTGCTTACCTTTCCATTAAGCATTGATCCAGGTTCAAAATAAGGAACCAGGAGGTCCACAAATCTGACTCTGCCGACTACAAACATAAAAGGACACCATTGCAGATTTAGACACCATTACATCTGCGAGAGAAATTCCAAACAAACAGTGAAGAATATCAACTTTGTGGCTTAAAGTGGATGTCCTGTAAAGATGATAAAGAGTATATGGTTCAGATCAGCCAATAGCTTACCTAATCTAAACCAGAAACAAAGCAAAGCAGAAAAAAACAAAACACAGGACCATCATCCATTTGATCACTGGATGGCAAACAAACCAAGAGTAGTAATGGTGTTGAAGGAAAGCTTCAATGGTTCACAAAGCTTATTTTCACCATCTGTAAAGTTTAGGAAACAACTCCAACATAAAAACAGAATGCTTCTGTTCACTTCAAAGCCTAATGGTACTGACCTGGTTCTTTAAGTCCATCAACAGCAAAGAGAAAAAGAGTGAAAATGAGCTTCTTCCAAACACAAATCTCCCTCACAGCCATGAGGACAGATCAGCCAAGACTAACCCTTATCAAGCCACTCTTCAGACTCTAATAGATCAGGAACGCATTCATCTCGTTAATTCAATTAATTAACCACCACCTGGCAGTAATTAATGTTATCATTTGATTAGGAGTTCCAACTGGCATTGATTTGAAACACGACACATTATGGAGGTTAGCGGACGATTTTTCTAGTTGCCATATCAACACTATAGAATTTAAAAAAATATAGCCTATGTATTTAAGATATTACTGAACATTTATTTAACCGTAGCAAAAGTAAGTTTCTTGTGTTCATTTTGAACAAGTCTGATATTATTTTATCTTATATCTTGAGATAGTTCTTGAATGCTGGTGTGACAGCAGAAGACAGACTAGCCGGGTTTAAATCCTATATTTAAGAGAACTTTGTCCCAGTTGTGCAGGCGGGGCATGTTGTCACTCTGCGTTGCAATGAGCAAATGATTAGAATTATTGCTTTTCTACTCTATACTTGTATGAACTCTATTGAGAAACCATGAGAAAGGGGTGAATAAATTCTGAGATTCAATGTTCAGAAATTATAAATAGAGGGACGTGACGTCACCGTTGGCCGGAGTGCCTGCAGTTCCTCACAGTGAGTCTCATTCATAAATATGTAAATATGAGAGTGTAAATATGAGAGTGATTTGCGCGTAAAGAGACCTTCCCGAAAACTCTTCTCATGATTTACAAATACATCGTAAACGTCAGATGTCATAGTGAAATGTGTGTGTTAATGAATTCCAACCTGTCGTAAATGGGATGCGCGTGCACGTTCATTCTCAATTACCATAAATCAAGTCCATATCCGACTGACATCTATATATAGGCATATAATAACATGAATGCGAATTTGATTTGATTAACTTCATTGTCTGTTCAGATGTACTGGACAGAAATTCATCTTTGACACTGGCACAACCACCACGTTACAAACCACATAAGAAATAAATAATTAATACACACTGTTATGTGGATAGCAGATCAACCCAATTGCAGAAAGTATGCAAACACACAACGTTTATTGATAACAGAAAACTGGGAAAACAAAACCCACGAGGGGCCAAACAACACTGGTCGGGAAAATAAAGACTAATAACACTAGACTAAGACTTTGACATTAAACTATACAGGAACAAGACAGGATTTTACAAGATCACAACTTCGTTAAGACAAGGTCCTCACAAGGTATAGACATGGCACAGGACAGCAAACACAAGGGGATCAAATAGGGAGAAACAGACAATGACTACGTTTACATGCAGCCAGTTTTCGGGTTATGGTCGGGTTAAGGTCACTTTTGGGGTTTCTGAAACATTAGGGATAAGCCTGCGCCCCGAAGGAAGGATCTCGAAGCAGGAATGGAGGGGATGAGTCTGGTCTGAATATATTCATAATGCCCTTTTCTCAAAAACAATATTATTAAAACACTTTCAATCATTGATCTATAAACAATGGTTAAGATTTCTTAACTTCCTAAGTAGACTTAAACGCTGTCTAGTTTTCTTATGTAGCCCATAAAATCCACATTGTCTTGGAAGGAAAGTTTATCATCAATGATTGAACCAAGATATTTTGCTCCATCTTTACGCCTTTTAACATTATTACAATATATTCCTATTTAACACAGATGTCATTTGCTAATTACATAAACTATAAGTTCAATTCATAGCCCTTGGATCCAAAAGAGAGAGTCTCGGCTGATGCATAAGGTGTCCTTTAGTAAGTTCGCCAAACCATGAAGCTCAACTCATCTTCATCATCACCATAGCACCGTGAAAACTGTATTGAAAACATATAAAATTTCACACACTTGGTTTCACGGTTACAAACATCATTACAAAACAAACATTAATTATACATCTAATAAAACCATACATATGGAGAGTATTATGAATGATCAATCATACCTCGCTGCGCTCACAAAGGAATGCAAACAAATTTTGATAATCCCCTTCCGTCATAAACGGGCGTCAAGTTTCAAGTTCATGAATAAAACACGAGATCTCAGATAAAATACACACATGTAGGCTCAAACACACGGCCGCTCCCCATTCACACCGCCAGATACCCTTAAATGTTCATCATCCCTTGTGCAAAACTACGGTGTCACCAAAAGGACAAATCTCAGTATTACAGGTGCACCAAATTTCCACTCAATCACATACAAATAACAAAAGCACATACAAAATACTTGAATAAGTTACAACATTTACACAAATATTTGACCAATAACCAACTCAAAGCACACATTAAACTCTCAAAGAGGTCCTTTACAATATATATTTGTGTGGTCCTCGAATGTGTTTGAATATTATCAGCCTTTTCACCGTTTGTATCACTCCGCCGGTCTGTGTTTGCCCAACTTGCATTATTGACTGTCTTTATGAGTGAACAATTGAACTTTAACTTAACA